TGCTACTAGCGTACCTATGCATATATTTTCTGGAAACACCTGCTGAAGGAATTAATGAAAAAAAAAAAAAACTTTTTGTAGCTTGGATTGAGGGCTCAGTCTGCAAGTTTATCACCAAATTTGGCAATTGACAGTTCTCCTTAGAGGGTCCTAAAAATATTATACCATTTATCTAGGGAATGCTCCAGGACACTTTTTGGTAGACAGTTCAAAACAAGTGTGATGGAAGAACATTAGAGTGATATATTATTCTAAATTTTCTGACATATTTAGAGAAGTTCATACTCAGGTACCTCTAAATCCATTATAGAATTATTAAAATATTCCATAACTCTTTAGAACTCTACATTTGTCCTAGTTACTTTAGGAATCTTTAAATATTTGCAGTAGGTTAATTTCTATTTCAAAATATATCTCTGAGGAAAAGAAATGTTTTTGGTTGTAGTCATGCTGTTTAGTTACTCTCTTGGCTGAATATCATTTATCATAGAATTTTTTTTTTTTTTTTTTTTTTTGAGACAGATTCTCGTTCTGTCGCCAGGCTGGAGTGAAGTGGTGCAATCTCAGTTCACTGCAACCTCACCTCCCAGGTTCAAGCAATTCTCCTGACTCAGCCTCCCGAGTATCAGCTGGGATTATAGGTACGCACCACTATCATAAACTTTTATACACTTTTAACCCGATATAAATGCAGGAGTGCATTTCAATGTGGTTTTGGTCAGAATAATCTCTAAATAATCAACACTTTTTTCCTTCAAAATCAGAGAATATAATTCCAATTATTCTGAGTCTTATCAGAAAATATAAGAGCCACAAAAAAAGTTGACAAACAATATTGAAATTCAGACTATATGTGTCACCCATTTCAAATGTTAGAATTTATTTATTTCCTGAGTTTTATCAATCACTATTTTTGCTGATACTAATAAAAAACAAGTTTGATAGTAAAGAATTATCAGTTATCTGTTTCTTTTTAGATACCCTCATGAACATTTTATACAAAGCTAATTGCTTTTTTTTTTCCCTTTTTTTCTTTTTTTTTTTTGTGACAGAGTCTTGCTCTGTCACCCAGACTGGAGTATATTGACTTGATCTTGACTCACTGCAACCTCTGCCTTCCAGGTTGAAGCAATTCTCTGCCTCAGTCTCCCAAGTGGCTGGAATTACAGGCGTCCACCACCACGCCCGGCTAATTTCTGTATTTTTAGTAGAGACAGTGTTTCACCATCTTGGTCAGGCTGAGTCTTGAACTCCTGACCTCATGATCCACCCACCTTGGTCTCCCAAAGTGCTGGGATTACAGGCGTGAGCCACTGTGCCCAGCCGCTAATAGTCTTTTAAAAGCTTTATTGAGATGTAATTTACGCAACATTAAAATTCATCCATTTTAAGTGTACAATGGGTTTTTTGAGTATATTTACAGAGTTTTGCCACTATTACCATAATCTAATTGTATCTTATTTGTGATATAATTAACAAAATTCTATAACCAAACCACTATCTAATTCTAGAACATTTTCATCCCCGCAATAAGGAACCTCATACTCAGTAGCAGTCACTCCCCATTTCTCCCCAACCCCTTCAGCCCTATGCATTCACTAATCTACTTTTTGTCTCTATGGATGTGCCTATTCTTGACATTTCATGCACATAGAATCATACAGTATGTGGACTTTGTGACTGGCTCCACTCACTTGGCATAATGTTTTCAAGGTTCTTTCATGTTATAGCATATATCATAACTTTATTCCTTTTCTCCTAATAATATTCTATTGTATGATATACCACATGTGGTTTATCAACTTATCAGTTGATGGATATTTGGGTTTCCACTTTTTGGCTATCAAGAAAAATGCTGTAGGCTGGGTACCATGGCTCACGCTTATAATTCTAGCACTTTGGGAGGCTTAGGTGGGAGGATGGCTGTGCTCACGAGTTCAAGACCAGCTTGGGCAACATGGCAAAACACCAACTCTACAAAAAAAATTTTTTAAACCCAGGCATGGTGGTGCACCCCTGTAGTCCTAGCTTCTTTGTGGGGGCTGAGGTAGGGGGATGGCTTGAACCCCTGAGGTCAAGGATACAGTGAGCCGGCGCCACTGCACTCCAGCCTAGATGACAAAGTGAGACCCTGTCTAAAAAAAAAAAAAAAAAAAAAGAATAATGCTGCATAAACATTCACAAACAAGATTTTGTGTAGACACTATTTTCATTTCTCTTGAAAATACCTAGAAGTGGAATTACTGGGTCATGTGCTAATCACGCTTTAGATGAGTAATAGGATTTTTTTCTACTTCAGAGGGTTTTTGACACAACCAGGAGGCTTTTTCATAAAAATGCAAACATAAAATCCATTTGTTGGTATAATACGGTCCATGTGCATATGTCTTTGCTATCAACAAAAGGTATCATATTTTCCAATTTCAGTTGAAATAGAAATTCTGACATTAGATAAGATCTTAGAATCTTGGAGTCTGTACTAATCTACTTCATTCACATGCTGGGATAAAATTCTGTTTTTAAGCAGGAAGTATATATCCAACTCCTATGGCTGACAATTGCTTAAGAGATAAATACATGATATGGTTAGACTGACACAACACCAGGAGCAAAAAATAATAATTTAAAATGTTAAGACACTGGGCTGGGTGCGGTGGCTCACATCTATGATCCCAGCCCTTTGGGAGGCCAAGGCAGCCGGGTCACCTGAGATCAGGAGTTCAAGATTAGCCTGTTCAGCCGGGCGCGGTGGCTCAAGCCTGCAATCCCAGCACTGTGGGAGGCCGAGGCGGGTGGATCACGAGGTCAAGACATCGAGACCATCCTGGTCAACATGGTGAAACCCCGTCTCTACTAAAAATACAAAAAATTAGCTGGGTATGGTGGCACGTGCCTGTAATCCCAGCGACTCAGGAGGCTGGGGCAGGAGAATTGCATGAACCCGGGAGGCGGAGGTTGCGGTGAGCCGAGATCACGCCATTGCACTCCAGCCTGGGTAACAAGGGGGAAACTCCGTCTCAAAAAAAAAAAAAAAAAGATTAGCCTGTTCAACATGGTGAAACCCTGTCTCTAGGAAAAATACAAGTTAGCCGGGCATGGTGGTACCAGCCTGTAATCCTAGCTAGCTACTTGGGAGACTGAGGCACGAGAACAGCTTGAACCCAGGAGGTGGAGATTGCAGTGAGCCGAAATCATGCCACTGCACTCCAGCCTGGACAACAAAGGGAGACTCTGTCTCAAAAAAATAAAATAGGCCTGGCACCGTGGCTCAAGCCTGTAATCTCAGCACTTTGGGAGGCCGAGATGGGCTGATCATCTGAGGTCAGCAGTTCTAGACCAGCCTGACCAACATATAGTAAAACCCCGTCGTCTCTACTAAAAAATACAAAAATTAGCTGGGCGTGGTACACACGCCTGTAGTCCCAGCTACTTGGGAAGCTGACGCAGGACGATCCCTTGAACCCGGAAGGCAAAGGCTGTAAAGAGCCATGATTGAGCCACTGCACTCCAGCCTGGGCAACAGAGCAAGACTCAATCTCTCAAACTAAATTAACAAAATAAAATAAAATATTACACATCAACCATGTGCGGTGACTCACACCTGTACTCCAAACACTTTGGGAGACCAATGTGGGCGGCTCGCTTGAGCCCAGGAGTTCAAGACCAGCCTGGGCAACATAGCGAAACCGTGTCTCTACGAAAGTATATATATATATAGACACCCTGATTTTTAGACACCCTGATTACTCATTTTCTTTCCCTAGAAGGATTGTCTGTGTGTGTTGGGGAGGGTGCTGTTTCTCAAAAGCACTTTCAAAAATTGTAGGCCAAATAAACTTCTGGTCACATTTTTGGGGGTTTGTTTTTTCCCAGTAATGAACACTCTAGTTCAAATATATTTTGCAAATTTTGAACAGATAATGAAAAGTTGATTGTAAAATTCTACATTTAAAAAAGACTTTAAAGACACATTTTCATTTTTTAAAAAAATCAAACCTCTTGCAGTAGAAATTAGACATAATCAAGGGAAAACTACCAGATGTCCTACCAATCACAGCCCTAGAGAAAACGCCACAGGTCGTCCAAAAAACGCATTCGTTTGCGTTAACAGCTCCTTCCTCCCGCCAAAGGTATCCCTCGAACTTCAGAAGCTGACCCTACGAGAGACTGATTTGATTTCTCCTTTTTGATTACTCCCACCCTGCCACTCCCAATCCACCTGCTTGAAGGTGTCAACGCGACTAGAAACGGTTAACAGTGACCAGCAGCAGAGAGAGAAACAAACATCCCTGACAACCCACAGCTGAGTAAGCAAGAGCCGTTTATTCACCAACGTGTTCCATTTGGAGACTGTCGGAGAGCCCTTGAAAGCCCAGGCACATTTGAGAAGGTTTCTGGCGAGGGAGGGAATCATCTTTTTTTCCCCCACTCGCCAGCCCCAAACACACAGTGGGAGACTCGGGTGGAAGCCGTCTGGTCCAGGCAGTCCCGACTTGCCCGCCCCCTCAAGAAAAACCTCACGCACCCAAGCAGCCGACCCCTTGAGGGGGTGGTGTAATTCCCCCAAAATGGGCTCTGCCGCAGGAGAGGCTGGCGCCAGCGCCGGGGGCTTCGGAAGGAGTTTCTGCCACCCCCACCTCCGCCACTGCCCGCCCCCACGCCACGGCCGGGGCTGAGGACCCTGATGAGAAATGGCCCTTCAGCCCCCTCCCCTCACCTGGCTCGGTCCCACCTGAGGGCAAGAGCGGAGGCGAAAAGAAACAGGCAGGGAAGGCTGACCTTGTTGCTACTGACAGTGGAGCGGCGCATCCTGCTGCTTCCTGGAAAGCCGCCCGAAAGACATTTTTTGTCCCAGGAGGAAGGAAACGGGAGGGCGCCGACCGGACGGCGGCCGTCGCGGAGGCGTTGGTCCGGCGGTCTGTGCAGCCTCTAGCGGGGACGGCCCGAGGACTACATCTCCCAGGCTGCTCTGGGCCGCCCTACGACGTGACCCCAGCGCGCACGGAGGCGGCGACTCTTACCTCACAAAGGTAGCTCCTCCGCCGGCAGTAGCTCGGCGCCCGCGGTCCAGGGACCGGAACCTCGGGCCGACGGGCAGGAACCCGGGCCGCGATCGCCGCCTCCCCGCCTCAGGCTCCTCCTCCTTGCTTTCCGCCGCCTACCCCGAACGCCCGCAGGCTCCGCACAGCCCTCGCTTGGCTAGCCGAGCTGCCCCGGGAAGCTGGGTGGCGGGTTCGCGACTGCCACGGGACTGAGGCCTACTCTGCCGCCTCTCAGTGCTATTGTCCCTGGGCCTGGCCCTGAGCAGGTCTACTGGGGAGGGCCGAGTGCGCCGGCTCCGCGGAAGATGCCGGATCAAGCCCTACAGCAGATGCTGGACAGGTACGGGCCGCTGTGTGGGGGTAGGGGAGCCGTCGACCCTCGCTCTCGCCCTGCCCGCGCCGGCCCTCGAGGCTCTTGGTGAGCAGAGCCCGGCGTGCCGAGAGGGGTTCCACAGCCAGGGGGCTGTGAAAGACGCAGAAAGTTTTCAGTCTAGACTTGGGGGCGGACAGAGCGAGCGGCCTGCGTCGTAGACTTTGGGTGAAACTTAACCAAGGAGTGGCGTCTGCTTTCTTTGGAACCCCGTTTTGACGTGAGAGGGACTTATGTTAACCCACAAGATTAGTTTCTTTTTCTTACCCTCTTCCCCTCCCCCCCACAACTTGTAAAGTGTTTGTCAGCGATGTCACTGGCAAGAAGAACCGAATTATTTTTCAGGGGAATGACCCCCTTATAATTTTAAGTCTCTAAGAACCAATGATAAGCATTCTTTTAGAAAGTCTGATTGGCTGATTTCATTCTCCCCCCTTTCCCCGTCCCCGCACCCCCTCATCCCGTCCCCACCTCCGAACTGTAAGGTCAGAGTATCCGCAAGGGAGCTTTAACGGTTAGTCCAGAGTAGAGTTTATGGAAAACAGCCAAATGAGTCCAACTCTGAACACTTAGCGTACTTGACGATCGTTGAGTTCATTGAAGACATTTTAGCTAGTACAGGAGTCAGTTGCCCACTCTTGGGGGGCCCCGGTCGGTGAAACTCTTTGTGAAGTCAGCCGCACCGCCCTCTGCTGTTGAAATTCTAGCCGTGGGTTCTACCCTGAGTTTTTGGAGACTCTAGATCCACATTTCCCCCAGCCAAGTCTTACTTCCTGGCATAGCAAGTTGTACAAGCTAATTCATGATGTTTGTGGTTGCTTACAACTCTCAATAGGCATCACTTGCCACCCATTTCAGCAGGTGGTACCAACTCTTTGTACTAAGTAAAATTCCAACTGTAAGGTGTTAAATGAAGGGCCTCCCTTAATTGTGTTTATGTCTAATTAAATGCTGTTTGGTTCTGCCACACCCAGAACACAAATGACCCAAATGTACATATCCTTCCAGGGTGACAGACGTTTTTTTGGAGCTTAGAATTTTGAGCCGTCTCAATTGATAGAAATTATGTCACTGATTTTTTTCAGTTGGGATAACTGGTGATTCATCCAGCCCTTGTTTCAGGTCAACATTCTGCCAATTGTATTGACTACCCTTTTTTATATGTATGTGTGTGGTTTACAAGCTCCTGGAAGGCAGAAACTTACTATTGTTTATCTCTAATCCCAGAATAGAGCCTGGTACTCAGTAAGTAATTAAGTATTTGTTGTGAACTAATGCACAAACTTATTTGTCAGTTTCCCCAGTTGTCTAGGGGTCTGATAATTTACCAGGTATTCCTTTAATTGTAAATTGGCAAATTGTGGCAAATTATGCATAGAGGAGACCACCTGCCACTGCCAATTCTAAACTGTTGAGACCCTGTTCTGATGCAGGGTATTTTGTAATTTTTTCCTCTGAGGACCTCCTGCTTTCATTTTTACATAGTGACTTTTTTTCGAGACAGGATCTCTGTAACCCAGGCTGGAATACAGTGGCAGTGACGTGGTCTCAGCTTATTGCAGCCCCCGGATCCTGGGCTCAGGTGATCCTCCCACCTCAGCCTCTCTAGTAGCCAGGGACTACAAGCACATGCCACCACGCCCAGCTAATTTTTTGTATTTTTATAGAGCCAGAGTTTTGCCATGTTGCCCATACTGGTCTCAAACTCCTGGGCTCAAGTGATCCTCACGCCTCAGCCTCAGAAAGTGCTGGGATGTCAGGCGTGAGCCACCGTGCCCGGCCTAGAAATGCTCTTATGTCCAGCAGCTAACCTAGCTTTTCATATGCTCTTTGGAGATTTCCCTAAAAGTAAGAAGCCAAAGAGTGAGGTCCGGCACAGTGGCTCACTCCTGTAACCCCAGCACTTTGGGAGACCAAGGCAGATCACTTGAGGTCAGGAATTCGAGACGAGCCTAGCCCACATGGTGAAACCCTGTCTCTACTAAAAAAAAAATACAAAAATTAAGCAGGCATAGTGACGTGTGCTTGTAGTTCCAACTCTTGGGAAGCTGAGGCATGAGAATTGCTTGAACCAGAGACACGGAGGTTGCAGTGAGCCAAGATCACACCACCGCCCTCCAGCCTGGACGACAAAGTGAAACTACATCTCAAAAAAATATATATATATATTAGTGAGGCATTTAAAACTTCTCAACAGAAATGTGAAGGTTTTGGCTGCCATTTACTGAAGCAGGTGACTATGACACTGGCTTACTCTCATTTTTGTTCTCCTTTTGACATACCTTAAGGTAGATTTTTAACATGACTGTCAAAGACCTTTATTGTCTGGATTAGTAGTTGGTAGCCTACTTCCGTGTTAGAATTACCTGGGCATTTCAAAATATGCATGGATGCTGGATCCTCTCTAAGACTAATAAGATCAAAAACTTCTGTAGGATAGATCCTGGACATCTGTAAAGCTTTTTAAATGTTTCGGATATGGCTGAAAATGACTGCCCTAAGTCCTAAGGCAGTGATATCTTTCATGGTAAGAGATAGTAGGGTACAGTGAGTGAAGCTTGGGCTTCAGAGATAGAAAGCATGAAATTTGAATTCTGCCACTTACTAGCTATGTGACTTTGAACTTAGATTCTGACGCTATGTATATCATTTATGAAATGGGAATATCCAACTTCACAGGGTTACAGTACACGAAAACGTAATCGCTATAAAACAACAAAACACTCTGTGTTAGCCCAATAGAAGGCACTTAAGACTAATGTAAACCAGTTTGGCCATTTTTCCCCCATCTACTTTATGTTTACAATTTGCTTCATCTGGGCTGGCCCTACTGCAAGTTGAACACAAAGATAGTCAACATGGTTCACTTGAAGGAGTATCGACAGGCCAAGAGACTAAGATATGTCAGCCTGTTAGGACCCAGAATTTTTTAAATTAATTTGGCTTCTCCCTAACGTGGTTTTTGGTGCCAATCTTTGAGGGACAGAATTTAGCTCAGATAATTGTTCATGTGTTTATTTATTTAATGCAGGTTTTTAACTTTGTAAAGACTAAGGAAATATGTGTAACATATTGTTCTGTTCATTTTAGGTTAAGTTATGTATTTTATTTAGACCAGGCACAGTGGCTCACGCCTGTAATCCCAGCACTTTGGGAGACTGAGATGAGAGGATTGCATGAGTCCAGGAGTTGGAGACCAGCCTGGGCAACATGGCGAGACTCAGTCTCTACAAAAAATTTAAAAATTAGGCCAGGTATGGTGGCACATGCCTGTGGTCCCAAATAGGAAGCTGAGGTGGAAGGATTCCTTGGGGGTCGTAGCTGCAGTGAGCCATGTTTGCATCGCTGGGTACTCCAGCCCAGGTAACATAGCAAGACCCTGTCTTTAAAAAAAAAAAAAGGTGTTATTTTACAATGAATCAATTATTAAACATTTATATTTATTGAATTTATTTAATAAATACTGAGTGTCTACATATGCCCAATACCATTCTAGGCCCTTGGTATATAGTGGCGAATTTAACATTTAAAAAAAGCCCTTATGGAGCTTTAATTCCAGTGGTGTTTGTGTTGCTTAAACTGTCAAAGACTCGTTTCAGTGGTAACAAGAATGGTATGTTCAATTTATACCACTTAATCTTTCAGGGTTTTTAAATTAGTGGCAACTTTTTTTTTTTTTTTTTTTTTTTTGAGACAAAGTCTCACCCTGTCACCTAGACTGGAATGCAGTGGTACAGTTTCTTGGCTCACTGCAACCTCTGCCTCCCAGGTTCAAGCAATTCTTCTCCCTCAGTCTCCCGAGTAGCTGGGACTATAGGCATACACCACACACACGGCTAATTTTAGAGACAGGGTTTCATCATGTTGGCCAGGCTATCTCGAACTCCTTACCTCAAGCAGTCCACCAGCCTCGGCCTCCCAAAGTACCTGGATTAAAGGCATGAGCCACTGAACTTGGCCAACTAGTGGCAACTTCTTAATAGCTGAAGTTGAATTTCCTTGTCTTTTGCAAATAACTCACTTTAGTTTAGCTATTATTTATATTGATAAATTTAATTACTATAGTATTTGTAGGTGGAAAGTATATATATGGATATACTTTTGATTGCCTTTTGTTTTTATAAACTGTTTAAGTGTTTTATATAAATTTATTATTTGAACCCTTTTTTTTTTTTTTTTTTTTCTTTTTTTTCTTTTTTTTTGAAACAGTTTTGCTCTTGTTGCCCAGGCTTGAGTGTAGCGGCTTGATCTCGGCTCACTGCAACCTCCGCGTCCCGGGTTCAAGCCATTTTCCTGCCTCAGCCTCCCAAGTAGCTGGGACTACAGGCATGTGCCACCACACCCGGCTAACTTTTTGTATTTTTTTTTCTTTGGCCGTAGACCTTTTTTTTTTTTTTTAACCTTTGGCCGTAGACCAACTTTTTGTATTTTTAGTAAAGACAGGTTTCTCCATGTTTGTCAGGCTGGAACTCCCAACCTCAGGTAATCTGCCTGCCTCGGCCTCCCAAAGTGCTGGGATTACAGATGTGAGCCACCATGCCCGGTCTTGAACCTTTTAAATTATTGTGGGTAAACAAGAATGCTGGAAAGGGGGGGTGATTTTTCTAGTGTCATGAATGTTTTAGAATCACAAATATCATTTCCCTGAAATTATAACCACTCATAAGCCCAAACCCTTTATATCAAGTTTTTTGAACCTTAGTTAGGTCTTCTATCTTTTTCATTGCCTCAGTTCTTTAGTAAGAAGTTGTATTACTTTCTCTTTCACCACCACCTTTCTTATTTTTCTCTAAAACTTCTCAAAGTTAGGATTGAATTTTCAGAGAACAATTCAAAGAATATAACAGACTGCAGGAATGGACCTCTGATTTGAAGCCTGGACTTACTGAGAAATGCTTCTGGAAACTACTTTTGCTTCCCCGTCTTAAAATAAACACGCATTAATTTGTTGAGGTTGTTTTGCATTACTT